ATGATACAACAGCTCCACCAATGGTGAATACATAACCACTAGTAAACTTGGAATCCTTCATATCGGATACCCAATTTGCATCACAATATCCTTCTAGTACCGCAGGATATTTTATGAAGTGTAATCCATAGGTTAAGGTATACTTCAAGTACCTTAGAACCCTCGTCAACGCCTTCCAATGATCACAGTTTGGATTACTTGTAAATCTACTAAGTTTATTCACCGTAAAAGCAATATTCAGTCGAGTGCAATTTGTAATATACATAAGAATGTCAATTATTTGTGAATATCTTAGTTGTGATATGTTTTCTCCCGTATTCTTGACTAAGTGCATACTCGGATCAAGAGGAGTTCTCGCAAGACTTTTCTCAAACACGTCAAACTTCTTAAATACTTTTTCTATATAGTGAAATTGTGAAAATACAATTTCATCCTGCATTCTTGAGATTTTAATCCCTAGGATTACACCTGCCACACTCATATCTTTCATATCGAAATGCTTTGTTAGCATCTTTTTGGCGTTAAGCAATATTTCGTGACTATTATCCATTATTAACATGTCGTTCAACTATACAATTACATCGGTATATGGTGTATGTTTAATATATACACATTTGTCACATTCGTTGATCTTGAATCCATTTGACAACATTGTTTTATCAAACTTTTGGTGTCATTGTTTAGGAGCATATTTTAATTCATACAATGACTTAACAAGTTTACACACTTTGTGTTTTTTGTTAGGAGAAACGAACCCTTCATGTTGCTCCATGTAAATCTCCTCTTTTAACTCACCATTTAGAAATGTTGTTTTTACATCCATTTGATGAATCTCAAGATTGTGTATTGCCGCAATTGCAATTAACAATCTTATCGACGTGATTCTAGTCACGGGTGAGTAAGTATCAAAGAAATCAAGTCCTTTTTACCTATATCCTCTACCAACCAATCTAACCTTATATTTATTAATGGATCTGTCAGTTTTCAATTTCTTTTTGAATATTCATTTGCATTTTAAAGGCTTGTTATGGGGAAGTAAATCAACCAACTCCCATGTATGGTTTTACATTATAGAATATATCTCATTATTAATAGCTTTTTTCCAATGCGGTGCTTCCGGTGTAGACATTGCTTCATCGAAAGTGTTTGGATCATCCTCTACCATATAGATTAGAAAATCTGGGCCAAACGTCTTGAAAGTCCTAGCCCTTTTACTACACCTTGGTTCTTCCTCATTTGAAGTTCCATTGGTAGTTTCATATGTTTTTTTGTTAGAACTCGTATTTTTCTTATCTTTGCAAGGAAAAATATTTTCAAACAATGTCGCATTCCTTAATTCAATTATGGTCCCTTCATGTACGTCTTGTATTTCGAATTTGCGTACAAGAAATCGATATACACTACTATTATTGGCGTATCCAATAAATATGCAATCTATCATTTTAGAACCGATTTTCACTTGTTTAGGCTTAGGTACCTTAACCTTAGCCAAACATCCCCACACTTTTTAAGTATTAGTAAGATGAAGGATGACATTTCCATAGTTCATATGGTGTCTCTTCCATTTTCTTAAGAGGTATTTTATTAAGAAGGTTATTTGCTGTTAAAATAGCCTCCCCCCACATGTTTTGTGGTAAATCTGAACTTATTAACATGACATTCATCATTTTTTTAAGTGTTTGATTTTTGCGTTCTGCAAAACCATTTGATTGAGGAGAGTAATGTGTCCTTGTTTGATGCACAATTCCATATTCAGAACAAAAGTCTTCAAACGGTGCCCCATATTCACTTCCTCTATCACTACGAATATTTTTTATTCGTTTTTCAAGTTGTGTTTCAATTTCAGCCTTATAGATTTTGAATGCATCTAAGGCTTCATCTTTACTTCTCAAAAGAAAGACATAGCAAAATTTTGTACAATCATCAATAAATGCCACAAAGTATTTCTTACCACCTCCAGTTTGTACAAATTTTAGATCGTATATATCGCTATGTATCAATTCAAGAGGGGTTGTGTTCCTTTGTATTGAATGGAATGGTGTTTTAGCCAATTTTGCTTCAACACATATTTCACATTTATGATTATGATTGATTTTATACGTCGGAATTAAACTTTGATTCATTAATTTGCACAACGATTTGTAATTCACACGTCCTAATCGACTATGCCACAAACATGAAGGCTCAAGCAAGTAAACGGAATATATAATTTTATTCATAACGACTTGCTTCGATCTAATTGTAAGAACGTTCAACTTGAACATTCCATCACACATGTATCCTTTCCTTATATGCACCTCATTCTTAGACAACACAAATTTATCGGATACAAATACAAGTTTAAAACCATTCTTGCTAAGTAGAGATCCGAACACTAAATTCTTTCTTCTATCAGGCACATGTAGGATATTGTTGAGGACGAGTTCTTTTCCGGATGTCATCTTCAAAGTGACTTTGTCTTGTCCTTCAACTTTGGAACTTGCAGAATTTCTCATATATAATTGTTCTCCATTCAATTCTTAATAGTTAGAGAACATCCCTTTGTCCGCACACATATGGGGGGTAGCGTCGGTGTCAATCTACCATTCTCTAGTATTTCCAATCATGTTGCATTTGGGCACTACTGCAGATAAACTCATTTCTTGCCATCCATCGGATAGAGTGTTATTTGCAACCATGTGGGCTCATTCTTCTTTGGTTTCGACATTCCCTTGAACGATGTCTAGGCTTGCCATAGTTGTAACAATTCCCTTTGAACTTCTTAGCCTTCTCGAAATTGTCTCTTCGCAGTGTATAATTAGGAGCCTTTTGATTCTTGTTTGTTGCCTTTTTTCCCATTTCAACAAAATTTGCACCATCTTGATCAATCGGCCTTCGTTCGGTTTTTCCATTGTCCTCTTTAATCCTCAAGCGCACCATCAATTCTTCCAAGTTCATTTCCTTGTGTTTGTGCTTGAGGTAATTTTTGAAATCTCTCCACATAGGAGGGAGTTTCTCAATAATAGCAGCCACTTGGAATGATTCACTCAATTTCATTTTCTCGGCGTGGATGTCATGCAACAAGACTTGAATCTCTTGCACTTGGCTAATTACGATTTTGGAATCCACCATCTTGTAATCCAAAAATTTGCCAACAATGAACTTCTTGTTCCAACATCTTCGGTCGTGTACTTTGTCTCCACAGAGTCCCATAGTTCCTTGGCTGATTCCTTTGAACTATACACTCTATATAGTGTATTATCTAATACGTTTAGGATATAGTTCTTGCATAGGAAGTCCAAGTGTTTCCATGCATCCAAAACAATGATCGATTCACGATTATTTTCTCCTTCTTATACAGTCGGTGCAGTTTCCTTTATAAATTTAGTCAAATTAAGAGTAGTGAGATAAAACATCTTTTGTTGCCACCTCTTGAAGTCTACTCCTGCAAATTTTTTCGACTTTTTCCCATGTGGGATAGTAGTATTATGTAACGGTATGGCCACGGGTGGTACCACATTATTGGAACCATTTTAACTTGATGAAGTCCCGATTGTAGCCATTTCTGTTACACAAAAAGAAGTTCAACAAAATAATGATAATATTTGTGGAGGAATAGTCCACAAAGCACTATTCAAACAAAGTAATGTTTGTCCACAATCAACCACAAAAACAACCAAGGTTTGTTTTAAGATTGTTGGAGACGACTTATAAAAAGGGTTATGTAAGGGTTGGTTTTTGATATATTTATTTGAACAGTTTTAACCCGCAAGAGAATAATCAAAACACAATTTATATCAATGAAAATTTGGACAGAGTTTCGGTATAAAGATTACGCAAAACAAGGATTAAGAAGGAATAGAAATATAGAATAATCCAGGACGAGAGTTATATATTTCCTTAAGACAAATTGTCCCGTTACGGTGCTCACAATGAATGACACTTGTCTCCCAAGATACAATGGATTCAAAACTTGTGGTAGTAGCACTTCAAACCACAAGAAATCGATGAACTTTTGATAGAATTTCCCCTCTACAAAGGAAATGTATGAAATGCTATGAAATTAGAAAGGAGAGAATTGCAAGAAGAGAATGAATTCTCAATGCAATTGGTATACCCAAAACCATGTCCATAGGGTTCTATTTATAGATATAGAAGAGTGCAAATGAAGTAGTGTGGGCCAAAACATGCACCCTTTTAAAAAAAGTTGCAACACATCCAAAACCTGCATCCTTTCAAAAAGTTGCAACACTTCATTTATTCCAATTTTGGTACGCAATTTCTCATTCATCCGGAATTGATTTCGAGATTTCAAATATATCACGACGATCTACTCGACGAGTAGAATAAGTTGGTCTATTTACTTTTATAATTTGACCATCGGATCAAGTCCGAATATCTGGTCAAAGTTGACACGTAATCACACCTTTTCATTTTCCACTTTTACACACATTTTTATTTTCCACTTTTTGGTTAAAAATTTGAACCAATTCCTACATATAGTGTATCTTCTATTTCATGTACCTGCTAGTTTAAGTTGTGTATATTATGTTTCAAGCACTAACTTGATTATTTTAAAGTTACAAATTTGTTTCTCAAAACAAAAAATTAGAAATCACGTTTGGTTTAAAAACTTTAGAAATAATTTTATGACATTTTGGAGGAGAATGGGAAGAGAGAGATAGAGAGAGTGAGAGGGATAGGGAGAGGGGCATTTGTATTTCGGTAATTTTTGTGTGATTTTATTAAATATTTTAATTTGAAAAATTTTCAAGCTCTTCAATGAGTCATTTTGAATTTTGTGTTATAAAATTTTCCTTGTTTTAAAAATCACATTTCTGAAAATAATATACCAAACATGTTTTGAGTATTTTCGAAAACTGAAAACCGAAAATGACCTCAAAATGACAAATTAAATGCACTCTAGGTATTCATCCTATCTTTTTGTTGCACAAATTATCTCGACTTTGGAGACCCCTTAGGTGTCATTGGCAGTTTGTTTGACATGAAAACCTGTGAAATAATATGCTAAAAGTAGAGTTGTAATAAATCTTTCAATTTCTAATCATCAAACCCTGTAAAACAGATTTGCATGAGCAACAACGTAGGTCTATAAGTCCATCTTTGATGTGGACAATTTATATAAAATCTTATTGAAAATGTTATATATTAAGTAGTAACTAAAACTTATTGAGTTTTGAAGGGCTTATACGTCTTGACATCCTGGGCAAGCCCTTGTATGGATCCGGCAGCAGCAACGAGTGACACAATAAGACAAGCCCAGCTCAGTATTTTAAGCCATATCCATGTAAAGGAATACTTGGGTATTTTGGCCTGTGCAATGTGCATCTCAATGGGAAAATACACTGTTAATGGGTAAAATGAGGCTGCCCCAATGAGACCCAAGAAATCGTTGAAGAACGGAAATATCATGGCCATCACGGCTGTTACTACGACGTAGGTTGTTCTCCATACCAGTCTAAACAAGTTAATGTACCAAGTACCGCATACTGGAATATTGATGGCATGTTCAGTCGAGATGAATTTGTTTTCCGGCCATTTCTTGTTGCAACGTTTCTCTACGTAACTAAATATTGGCTGGGCAAAGACCTGTTTTTGGACCAAAAAGGCGTTATCAAGATATGCAAGCATAATAGTTATGAAGGTTATAGAATATTTATTTACCTGGTAAGCACCAATTAAGTGGATAGCAATGCAGACATTGGCAAAGTCAATCAACCAGAAGGGTTCATAAAATCCGAACCCAGTGAGGAAATTTCCCGGAGCTTTATTCCCAAATGCTGCATAACCTATGCAACCACAAAGGACGTAGAATATGGTCGTGGTCGACACTCCTATCAAAGAGGCCCTTTTCATTACCTTGTTCTCTGGGGGCGGCGACTTCAACGTGTCCTGCATAAATACACATCATCCCAAAAATATTTAAATTGTTATACCACGGTATTCAAGTAAATGTTTCAAAAACTTTTATTCGATCAGTGTGGTACCATAAAGATCCGTATCTCATGTGACTCTGTATACTAGATGATTCCAATAAGGATAAATATATATGTACCGAAAATGGGTTATCGAATTGGTGCCCTACTATCACATGCACGTGAGGGCCACGTGCATTTAAAAATTCTGGCTTGTGAGACCCGTTCTTCTATTGTGAGTATAGGTAAAAGATTCGATAAAAATGTGTAGATAAATGTAGCATTGTCCAATAATAATATCCATCAACAGTGTGCCGTGAAGAATCTTAACCTAAATCACAAAGGCTAGTGGTCCAGATTCCAGAAAGTAGAAACAAACACAAAGTATTAAAAGATAGGTCAGGACCAATTGTGAGGTGCAACAGTCACACCTTAGGTAGGCTGGACCAATTATCTGTTTAAGCTTTTTCTTCAATCATAGGACTAAATTTTTTCATATAATAATAATAATAATAATAATAATAATAATAATAATAGTAGTAGTAGTAGTAGTAGCAGTATTCAATTGAAAAAACATGGGTCCTGCTAGAAACATGAGTGCAACAACGGCTTTTGTCATAAATATATATAATATGATTTATTGATAAGATATATGTTACTATATTTAGTAAAATTCTATTGTATTCCAATCCCTTTATTTTACATTTATCCAAGTAATGTATTCGGCTTTACTTAGCTTCTGTGCAAACCTATAATAATAATAATAATAATAATAATAATAATAGTGGATTTCAAGAAATCCGTAAATAATAAGGATTAATATTTAATTTTAATTGAATTTATAGAGTATTTTTAATCGATATCCAAAGATAAGGTTAAATATTCAACAAAGTTTATCTACTCCCATCCTTGTGCTACAAATGCAAGTTGTCACATATATACTGCACCAAATAATACTCTCACTCACTCACATGCAGAGAAACAGACACATCAGCAATTCATACTGTGATACTTTCATTAAATTAGGCACAAATTTCAAGTTTGGGCCGAGCATCTTATTCTCTCCCGTTCCATAAAAATATATTTATTTTTCTTTTATATCTATCTCAAATTATAGATCACTTTTTTTATTGAAAATATAATAATATTTTTTTTTAATTTTAAGATATCCCTATTTAATGTAATTTATTATCAAAAAATATGAATTACTCTTATTTAAACTATTGTTCAATGTATTGTATGGTATATTAGAAAAAATGTAAGAAAAAATTATGTTTTCCAATTAATATTTATTACAACTTTTTACTTTGGGAGTGTTTGAGCCATATTATTTTGGTAATAATGCATTCTTGAATAGTGAATTGATGAAAAATATGTGGTTAAAAAATAAGGAAAAGGTTTTTATCTACGTGTAATATTATTTTATTGAAAAATATGTGGTTGAAATGATGTCAAATTACTATTTAAAAATGTATTTTTTTAAAATAATGTGACTCAAACAAGTCCTTTTTGTGAAAATGAAAATAAGTCTTTCTTTAAAAAAGAAATATTTCTTTGACGAAGAATATGACGTGTGCTATACTGTCATAAATCATATCTACGTATTCTTATTTATTTTTGCTCACTTTAATGATCAGAGGATATCTATCTACGAATACAAATAAAAATATAGAATAATTAATGACTCGCCTGGATCTCAATAAGCACTGTGGAATAGGCATATGCAAAGGCTATATCTCCAATGGCTTGGAAACTTCTCCAGACCTTCTCCGTACCGGACACGTCGACCCCGACTGTTACCCCCGTTAGGCTTGTCCGAGCATGCCCACCACCTTATTTAATCCGAACCACGAATGTTCGATTATAACATAACTAGAACCATATTACATAACAAAATACTAAAGATCAGTCTGGTACCTGCAACCTTAGCTATGGAGAGACCGAGGCCGATAGAAGAATAGGCAAAAGACATAACTGCGGCTACAATAGATAGCCATGACAGCTCATGGAAGTTTGGTATTTGACTAAGAATTATCTGAATTACTGCAAATATTATCATATATGGATAGTTGGATATCGAACACTTGACATGATGACCGTGTCTGTGGAAGCAATTTGACCTCTCGACCGCCCTGATGACACATCAAATTATTTGTTTGGAAAACACTAGAAATTTTCTCAAAAAGATTAATAATAATACTCACACCATACTAATGGACGCAGTGATTGTGTATCCAATTGTAACCCCAATGAGATTACCATACTGGGCTAATCCACAGAGCTGAACTTTCACACCTCCTACAAATTATTGGAAATTTCATAAAATATAAAAATTACAAGTATCTAGAATTTATCTTAACAAGTATGCATTACCTAAATGAGACCTCACGACGTCCATATAAGTGTAGTTTCTGCTGCCATTGACGGGTCCTGGAGAGCGATAACTGTCAGCTAGTAGGGTGGAGGTGAAGTAGGTTATGAAAGAAAACGCCAGAAGAACTGCCGGACCGGCCACCCATCCCAACTGAGCTATGGCCCAAGCCAGTGACAGCACGCCCGACCCAATAACCGCAGTTATGATATGTGCACTTGCAGTCATCAAATTACCTTCAGACCAAACAAGAACAATCAAACAAAAATAATGGATTAAATATATGTAGGATGTCTATACCAGTTCGTTTGACACGGCCATCGTAGTCAAAATTCTTGTTAGGGCCATTCTCCAGTACTTCTGGGGTTTGTTCTATGTACATGCTCTTCTTCTCCGACTCTCTCATCTCTTTCTTCCTCCTTCACTTTTTCAGCATGTGTGTACTGGTGAGTAAATAGTTTACTTCAGGTTATGAAACTTGGTTCAAAGAGAGGAATATATAAAAGATCGGATGCATGGAAAATTTTTTGAAGTACCGTTTTGAATTTCGAAATTTTTGTCAGCGATTCCAGTAGTCATTCGATCGATGCCACTTGACATAATTTTAACAATTTAAAAAATAGGAATAACTTTTATTAACGCTATGCCATGTAAGATGTGTCATGTATGATAATTTCTGCAGTCCCTGACTATAAATAATATTACTCTTCTTTTTAAGAAACTTTAAAAATAGTTCTTAATTTTGAAAACTTTGATTTGAAATTACACACTATTTTGGATTATATTTTGTAGGCTTCAACTAATAAGTAACTTGTTTAGCCCTTATTTGATAGAGGTTAAAATTAGATTTTTAGCAGATTTTGATTAAAAAAAAAATAATGAAATACGTGGTTGAAAAGTTGTGAGTCCCAACGAAAATGAGGTTAAAATTAATTGTAAATTTTGACCTTGATAAAGCTTTAGATTTTTAATGAAACAGGGGCTTCGATTTTATCAATAATTTTGCATAATTTCTGACTATATTTTACAATAAAGTTAACAAATTATCAGAGTTCATATAATGTTAAATAAGGTTTTCACAGCCAAGGCCATATCTTAGATTTTAATAACTGAGCCCAGTTCTAAAAGTTGGGCCGTAAAATTGAAGTTTGTATTCAATGTTTCTTTCTTTTCTCCTAACGTTTTCTCTTCTTTTTTTTTTTCTTTTCTTTTTTTGGGGAAAATTAAATCTATAAACTTAAAATCAACAATACATTGGCAATCACTCAAACTAAATTAATCAATTATTAATTAGCACATTCATGGAAGATGTTCGTTTCTTTTTTCCAAGAGATTATCATTTTACTTTAATTTAATTTCCTACATTTTGTAGTGAAAATGTATTTTACATGATTTTAGTGGGATTCTAGAGTAATGGATTCTCAGATAAATTTTAGTTTATGGCTTGGAAAGGATTGATGTGGAATTATGAAATGTAAAGTGAGATTTAGCCCTTGGTTTATTTTTTTTTTTTTCTAGGAAGTTATTTTGAATGTGATTTTGATGAAAAGTAATTTTGAAGAAATCAAAAGCAAACAAGGGTTTTGTTTGATTTAGGATTATTCATAATGATTTTGCTGAAATTTCAAATCTAGTAAAGATACCTATATAAACAAGAGATTAAGCTAATTTTGTACGAGGGAACTTATATTTAAGAAAATACTTCTTATACATCATTATTGGCATATTTTTTTTATAGATTCATGATGTGTCGATAAATTGAATTAAAATTATCAAAATCTCTTAACCATTTAATAGATTGTGATTATGTAATATGGGGCTAATGACAAAAGGAAAGTGAAGAATTTTTTTTTTTTTTTTCCAGTGGAATTTCTTTATTAATAAACGAATCTGTAAGTTGTGATGTACATGTAATAAAACTTTGTTATTTATTATTTCGAGTCTGGAAGTAACCGTCTCATTGACTCAAATCAGTATTCAGAATTGTTCACAATTTAAAAAAATAATAATAATGAAGAATTCTAAATACTGTATCATAAGTATCACATTTCGGTCCCATTTCTGCCTTTTTTATTTATTTATTTATTTTTGACAACAGGATGTGAAGCGCAGGGGTCACTAGTCAGTAGCCTAAATTGGAATTTGAATTTATTATTAACAATGGAAGTCAACGAAGAGATGTTGTCGGAAAGTAAAACTCCCAAGAAAATATTTTATTATTGAGGACAATACAATTATGTAGGGATTAGTGCATTTTTGTTATATGAATGGATTTCCTTTTCTTCCACATTCAATGGTAATTCTGGTTTTCGGGATTTCTAAAACTACTCGATATGCCCCCACATTTTCCAATTGGTTTGATTCTAACCGTTGAAAATGAAACAATGATGATGTCCATTTATTGTGGTTTAAAATTTATTATCAAAGGGAAGGGTGTGACAAAAAGAGAGATGTGTGATTATGAATTCCTTTTAAGAAATGGAATGCCTTATACCGCGTGTTGATGTCAAAATTGACTTTACAAACTTCATGAATTAATCCACCAGATCCTGCGTAATGGCAGCTCAATATATGGTAGAAGATTGCGGAGTTTAATCTTCTTCCTATACATTATCAAGTTTGAATATTACGATTGAGCCTTTTCTCATTGTTTTTTAAATTTAATTGCAAAGAGTTTATAAGAGTTTTTTTTGTGTATAAAGAACCTTGTCATCTTTCCAAGTTCTTTTATTATTGACAATAGAGTTCTTGACTATCTTGTATATAAAGAATCTTGTCATCTTTCCAAATTCTTTTTCCTTGACAATTTAGGGTGCAATGTAACTGCTCAATTGTAGAGTCCATAACTATCTTTCATAGATTTGTTGCCACCTTTAATTGTAATAACATCTTGACCGGAACTCTTTTATCCTCGACAATTCTATAATGCTCCAACTCGTATAGACTGGAATGTCACTCGAACGATTATACCTTAGTCTAGACTTAATATTAATATAACAAATTTAATTTAATTAACTATACCTTTTTTTTTTGTGCGAAATACATAATGATTTACTATAAAATCAACTTAAGTATTATATATTTATATAATTTATTCTAACAACACAACACAATTTAATATTTAAAGGAAATAAATTCAAAAAGGTTTTTGGAGTGATTTTCATGCATGTACCATTGGCATTAACATTTTAGGCAGAAAATATAAATATGATATTTTACTTTTCTTTCTCAAATGGAAAATGTCAAAATAAATTTGTTTACATAGTTATCAATCTCGAAACTTCACAAGATTTTAACGGAAGTTAGCAAACTTCTTTTATTATGACATATCTGAAAATTGGCTTTCAACAGCAACATATGAGATGCTCTATTCCAAGCGCTAAACTCTTATGCCTCCCATAAACTTGGTATTAGCTTTCACGCGTTCTTAAGCAATTCAATACGCATTTATCCAAGACGAAAGCAGTCAACTGTGAACGCATGGTTAGCTCTTAAAAAGAACAGCTCTTTGAATTGATTTACAGTGCCTATTTCCAAGCTTATAAAAGGAATTTATAAACTTTAAAGAGCTCCCATTCCCACATGTTTGCGAGGTCTCCACCTTTTAGTCGAAAGGCACTCGTTTCCCTCTCGACCTAGATTCCATACTGAAAGTAGAGCTTGAAAGCGTCGAATTCAATCACATCGCTCTATGCCAGATTTTGACTACTTTGATTCATAAGGTAACCGACGGTTCCTGACTTTCTCCGCTTTCCGCAATCGTAACCATTTGTCATTCCCAAATAAAGAATAAAGAACAAAGAACTTCCCCAATTGAATCAAGCAGACCGACCCGTACTGATGAGAATTTGACTCCACGAGAAATTGAACAAAAAGCCGCCGAATTGGCCTATTTCTTGCGCATACCAATTGAAGTCTTTTGAGAAATGTTTTTCAAAACCCCGCTAACAATAACTAAAACAAAGCTTTTTTTTTTTTTTAATCTCGTATGGCAAGTGACAAAATAAATTCGTTTGCATGACTGTTAACTCCAAAACTTCATGAAATTTTAATATAAAGTAGGAAGCCCCTTATGATAAGATATATCCAAAAATTGACTTCTGTCGACAACATATGAGTAATTAAAATATTTTTTTAAAACCTCACAAAGACTCAATTGGAAGGTAAACTAGTACAGTTCACTTAAAATGACATAAAATTCCACAGACTTCGAAACAACTTTATTCAATAATTAATCCATGAGACTATCAAATCTCATTGGTTTTATTCAAAAATTTCAAGTAAGGATTAAGTTATGAATTTTTGAAACCAATGGCAGAAGCTGAAACTTTAAAGAAACAGCAACATTAAATCGCTAATACTATTTTATTATTATTATTATTATTATTATTATTATTATTATTATTATTATTATTATTATTATTATTATTATTATTTTGTAAACAGTGTTTCACAAGTTAATTTTTAGAACACATATCTACTTTTAAACATAACTTATTTATAAAGAAATGTTTGTAGGATAGTTCCACATGCGACGTCCATAGTATTTAAAAGTAAATGTAAACATTTCATAATTGGATTAAAAACATTATATCACTGATTTTTCCATGGCATGTTGCATCTACATCTACAATCATCCATGCTCCCAAGCAAATCAAATCAAATCAACCTATAGGAAAGTAACACATGAATTTGAAACTCAATATATATCATCAATGTATTTCGTTATTAAATTAGATAATTCGAATTGTAGATTCACACCATCGCACGTAGATGTATTTCTGACAAAATTCGATTTGAATATCATTATTATAATACATAGAGCTGGAGAATGATCATTCAAATTATAGTGTGCCAAAGCACCCTACTCGGAGGTATCATTTTATTCAAACTTTTATCAAAAAATCATAATTTCAAAATCAAATAACCCTTGTACCCCTACCTACCTTCGTTTGATGTTTTTGAATCGATGAAGTTTAACATAAATCTAGCTTCCTGAATGCAACCAATGCTTAAAAAAACTGCCTATCTTTTCTTTTCTTTTTCTTTGGAAAATTTTCTTGTTCATAAAGTGTTCATCCGTATGCATTGGAAATGATATAAATAACTTGGAGGAAAATGAAATGTGAAATTCCAATTGGCCTTTGAAAATGAAATGTTGGTAGCCATTTAATAAAATAATTAAAGAAATGTTTATCTTTCATTTTATTGAAACGGTTCCTGCCTTATCACTCACCAATTGAACAATTTAGAAAGAGTTTATTGTGAATTGTAGGTCACATTTGTAAGTTTCATTCCTCATTTTTAGGTACATTGAAAACCTGTGATAACGTATGTGTATGTTGGGAAATTGAAATGATTAGTTTCATTATAATTTAATGAGACCTATTCCTATTTATGTATACACATATAAGTTGTTATTTTTTTCTTTTTTTTGGTCCCTAAACTTTATTAAACTAATAAAATAAATCCCCATTTAGAACTTAATAGACTCTATTTTCCTTATAGTTCGGTCATTTTGAAAAATAACGTATACGCAAATCTA